GGGGTTGTGATGTTTCATACAGATTATCATAATGATGATTCGTTATATGGGATGTATCTACATATTTTATCAGACATAGTAGAATCTGTAGGGGTTATAATATCAACCATCTTAGTTAATTATTTCAATTTCATATTTTTTAATACTCTTATTTCCTTTATTATAAGTATGATGATCGTTAATTACTCTTTAGATTTATTCAATAGATGAAAATAATTTTTCTGATAGTTCATTTTCAATTTCGTTAGCTAATATTTTAGTATCTTGTTTTTCCTCTTCTGATCCAGAATTACTTAACGATTTAAGATATTTAATAAAAATCTCAACTCTCTTAAATTCGTTTTTCTTATCTAAACTCAAAATACATAATGAAAGTTTGTGTACAATATTATTATATTCTTTATGGGTAGCGGGAATTTGCTTTATGATTTCATTTAGTTTAGAATACGCATTTTCATAATCTTCTTCATCAAATGCGTGTTCAGTATCAAATATAATATCTTCTAATCTTCTCTCTGATTCATAATGTGAAATTTCATCAAAAAGTTCACAAAAAAATTTGTTAGCAATATTTCTTTTATCTTTGGTTTTTGAATATTTAGATGACGTTTCAAAATAATCTTTATATTCATGGACTTTAGCGATTTCTTCATCTTTCTTCAATTTTAAGATAGTTAAAGAGAAATGAAAAATGATATTATCATAAAAAATATGATTTGATGGAATTTTTTCGATATTTTCTTTTGCTGACAAATAAGCGGATTCTAATTGGTCATTATTGAAAAGATCTATAACTTTTTTTACAATATCTTCAAAGTTTTTTTCAGATGACATTATATTATGTTTAATATCTACATGTGTATTTTATATTTAAATATTTTTATAATTAATAATGATGTTCTAATAAATTAATAAACAAATCAAAATAAAACCTTAAATATTGAATATTTCACAATGTAAAAATGTCCAGCCTCAATCAAATCGATCTGAATGATTTTTCTGATAAAGAGTCAATTTATAAAAATATCAATATGGAGATTTTTAAAACGAAATGGAAATCATTAAAACTAGATGCGGTTATCAAAAATTTTTTTGAAAATAATAGCGAATTTCAAAATGAATTTAATATTATCTCAAATTTAAGGGTTAGTCATCCAAACATTATTACCTTTTATGGATGTTGTTCTGACAACCCTCTCAATTTAGTTTTTGAATATGCGGACCAGGGAAATCTAAGAGAATATCTAAAAGATAAATTTGATTCGATAACATGGAATGATAAGCTTAAACTTTGTAAAGATATTACTCGTGGTCTACATTTTTTACATAATCGCGATGTAATTCATAAAGATATATGGTCCAAGAATATTTTAATTTCACAACGTACCGCCAAGCTTTCCGATTTTAGATTTAGCAAGTTTGAAAATGAAAAAACTAGATCAATTGATGGTCTGAGGAAAAATGCTTCATATATCGATTCCCAATACATCATCAACCACGAGTACGAATTAACAAAAAAATCAGATATTTATTTATTGGGTATTGTCTTTTGGAAAATTTCAAGTGGTGAAAAACCATTTAAAAATTCTGACAATGAAGATGCGATTGCAGTATATATTTTTAACAGAAAAAGAGAAACTCCAGTTAAGGGCATGCCTGAGTGGTATACGGATATTTACATTAGATGTTGGGATCAATTGCCAGATAATAGACCAGATATTAAGGAAGTTTTTGATATTATTAAGAATCATTAATTAGTTTCTTTTATAAATTTTACATATGTATTAATAATTATTTTTAAATAAACAACTCCGTAAACTCCGATAGATGAATATAAAAGTTTTAATTTTTTTATCATGATTCAAATTGAATAATCTCATTATGTTATTCTTAATAGACTTACCAACTGAGATTTTTTTTATTATTGTAAAAAACATCAGATATCTATTAAATCTTTTGTTAGTTTGCCATTTCTTTTATAATATCATAACCGACCCCAATATGGTTACTTTACAATTTTGGTAAAGCACAGGCCCTTTTTCATGCTGTTAGATTGGGTCCTTATTTTTTAACTCTTGAAGTAGCACGATGTATACTGAATCAAGGAGCGAACCTATCTCGTTATTTCATGCAAAGACTCATGTTGGCTTTTGGTGAATATGATATACATTTGATAAAATTAAAAATATCACATAATATAAATTCGACAATTGATAGAAATATTATTAAAAAAATTAAACCGTAGGCTAGTACTCTAAAAATAGAAGTTTTTAACTTCTTTTTACTAGAAGCTAAAAAAATTTACAAGGATAAATTATTTTTGAAATCAAACGATATAGAACTTTTTTATTTTTTATCTTGTGGTCTATTAATAATCGAAAATACTAGAAAACAAATCAAAAAGAATCTAAAAGAAATACAAGATTTAATCTTGGTTAAAAAATTTGTACTATTTCCTTCAAGGCCTTGTAAAACTTTTATTATAGACGAATACTCATCACGAGATGGTTATGAAAACATTCGTCAATTAAATATTATTACCCATGCTATTATATTATATAATGATCTTGTAAATTTATAGAAATCAATTGGTTATAATATAGTTGAAGATGTGAATAGTTTAATGTTTCAAGCAGTGATGATAATGTTATTTCTGCCTCAAGGATTAAGACCCGAGCCATCGATTCAAGAAATAGCAAAAGATTTAAAATTGTACATAAA